CTTAAGTTTTTGACGGTTTAAAACTATTAGTAATGGGTTTAAATTATTTTATGCAAAGGACAAAACCTGTTTAAATTTGAAATACAGCAAAAACTTTAAGTTTAACCACATATTGCAAGTTAAAATAAATCAAAATATTTATCTCGAAATATATAGGCGCTAGGTTTTTAAAGTGGACTAGAGTTACACATGCCATGGATTTTTGTAGTAAAGTCTAAATACTTTTCTTCTTTTTCATTCTACTTTGGAGTGCGAACTAGTTGGCTATCATTTCTAGAGTGCTATTTAGTTATTTTTGTTCTACCAAAGTAGAACATTATAATAGGAATAGAGAGGTTAGCTTGACCTGTTGTTATGAACTCGATGGCGATCTGTTCGCTCGTTCCTGTTGAAAACTACTACAGTGCTGCCTATTTTAACTATGGTAGCTTATTATTACTATGCACTGTTATAATAATTTTGTAGTTATCTCTAAAACCTTGTACTCGAAATCACTGGCAAGAAGCAAGTATTTGCTAAATGGTTTATAGTTTAATAAGGTAGCTGACTTTATACCTTATTGGTTCGAAGAAATTGCTCTTGATGTAGACTGCTACCTTGCTTTTACATTAAAAATTTTACCATTATGCTTATTTGTCATAATACTTAAATAGAGACAATCTAGGCCTTGGAAGCTTGAAGACACTTTGACAGCAATGAAATATAAAACTCCTTATACAATAAAACAAGATCGGCCCTCTAGCTCAGGTATTTAACTCTTTCTACTAAATTTGAGTTCTAACTGAGTTGCACTTTATGTTCTTTAGTGCTACGCTATTTCAGTCAATTAGAGCACTGTGAGTGGTGTTGGATGCGTACTAAAATGTTTTGGTGTTAAAAAGGTGGGACCAAATAATGCGTCCTTCTCCTTAGAGGGTGCAACGGGCGTAGATTTCTATAGAAGGTTTATACAAAAAAAATATTAGATTTGACTAGTAAGTTTAATTCTTTTACGCGGTGTTCAGTTGAATGCTAACTCAATCCTCTGTAAATAGTAGTACTACGATAGAACTTCATAATCAGGTAGCTTATTGAACATAGTAAAAATAAACACGATAAAAATAAAAATAAAAATAACATTCTTGTCTTCCTATGGCTCTAGCTGAATATAAAAAAGTAGGCTTTAGTACTATCAAGATCTATCTCATAACTTAAAAAAGAATGTTCAAACCTGACCAACAACTTATTCTATTTAGAGGGGTTGACACACTAGTCGAAAGTAAGTAATAATAAAATGAAAACAAGTAAACCAGTTCTGTTATGTATATTTACACTAGTGCCAGGCTATATTGCATATCTTATTTTTGTGATATGTAAGTTGTTAGACTTTACTAAATTAAGGCTATTTTGACTGACTTTGTGTCTTTTATGACTCCTTTTGGGTCTTTTTTAAATCATTTTCGGTCAATTATAGTCCAGTTTTGATCATTCAGCTAATTTTTGACCATTTTTGACACATTTTAGCTAAGTTCTGACTGTGTACTTGTAGAGTTCGTTGTGATTGATTTCTAGCGATATATGCTCAAACCGAATGTCTATCTTCACTTTTGGTATCCGATAATACTAATAATATGACAACTTTCGTAATAAAATGCTAACTTAGAAATCTGAATCGGGGAGATAACAATAAACATAATTCAAGAAGGCACCATACTCAAGATCTACTCTTTTCAAAGTAAAACTATCTCTATCCAAGTATTTACAGCTTTCTCAAAGAATAACGAATTTGTGCTTTCGAACTAAATGTACCTGGCTACTAAAGGATCCTACTATAGCATAGTACTATGGAAAGATACTAATTTTAATGGTTTACATCCGTTTTATAAATCTACCTTAATTCTAGGGCCTTTAGCTTTATCAAAATTTGCTATGCTTTTGATTATTGGTTAATGACCCTGATAAATAATTATTACTGGGTAGAAACATTATTCGACTCTATAAAGGGGTCATTTTGAACAATTAAGAACTTTAAAGCATCGTATAAGAGGTGGGAACCTTCTGTTTCTTTGTTTGCGCTTGTCCTTGTGCGCTACTTCTATCTTTGTATCTTGACCTTTGCGCAAAGGGCTTGTAAGCAACCTTTATTGGGCTTTGATCACGGCGAGGTTCGCGTCGGCGATCCTTTAAAAAAACATTTTAATGTCAACGGATGCAGGTGGACTTCGTAGTGGGAAGAATTAGTCAAACAATTGGTTTGACTCTGACTGTTAGTTATATCTAGCAACTTTCGTCCAGCACTGTAGATTCTTTAGGGATGCGAGGATAGCTTTTTGTCCCTACGTCACTACCGTAAAGCGCACAAAAAGATGTCTGCCGTCGCTGTTATTCCAGGCGGCTACATGCTGATTTCGATCTAGTGTAGTAAATAGGCACTCATCCAAAGGTGAAATATTATCTAAAGGCAGCTCATCTGCGATTGGGTCATGCCACCCTCTACTATTCGGCGATGTACTGGCTAATGTTATTGTATGCCCTCTGTCTTGATAGTTTTAACGATAAAACGAGATATAACTAGTATCCTCGTTGATAATTGGACTTAGGTAATACAGTCAAAATCAAAGAATCGTGGTTATGGTACCTTCCTGAGTGAAGCTCTAGGTCAGAGTTTGGTATTACTTCGGAAAGTTTTTGGTGGCGTAACGCATGGTTGGAAACAATAGCTCTTAAAACTGGTAAAAAGACGGCGGTGGCTTAAGTCTTTGAACAGATGCTATCTTCCCTCTACCTTGTAGCATAAATTATGGCTATCAGCATGCCTTGGACTGACTCCTTCGTGCCCAGTAGCTAGAAACTTGTAGCAATAAGATCGACTTTTGTTGCGTTTCGGTGGTTGAAGCGACCAGGCTAATCAACCTAGAGCTTTAAACCTGGAGCGCTTACGCGCTGAATACTAGCGCTGTCTATAGAAGTTATCTCTTCTTAGAGGTAATCAAGGAGATATATGGAGCCTTTATTGAGACATCGGCGAGATATGTTACGTTGGTTAGTACACTACCTTTATCTTGGTGAGTATGTGCTACCAAAAGCCATGAGCGCAAGAACTAGCTAATGAGTGACAGGAGTTCTGTTTCAGAACCATTGATGCAATTATGCAATTAATTCAAAAGTTTTCCTAAATAACGAACTTGAGGCTAGACTGGATGTTTGTACTAGCGTCGGGTGCCTTTTGACTTGATCCGCATAGCTGGTGGGTCGAACCATTAATTGGACAGTGTTATCTGCTAGTGTTGGTACATGATCTATAGGTGCGCCGGGTCACGATTAACTTTGATGACAATTAACTACAAACGATTCTCTGGGCGGATTTTCTGCACATGAACCCATTTACCCTTCCAACTGAAGCAACTGAAGACTGCAGAATTACCCGAAAGATCTCTAGTATTAAAAGGTCTTTCAGATTAAAAAATCCTGACTCACACATTTCTGAAGATAACTTTTTAAAATTTAGGACAGAAATCAACTCGGGCTTATCTATATTACCTTTAAACTCTGCTTTACAATACAAAAACGTACTAAAAAATGTGCCTTCTCAGTTTACTAACCCAGCGCAATTTTTTACATCTAATCCGTGTTGCCAACGCTTTAACGCAAATTGTGAGGTAATTCCGAAAACTTTATATAACGACTGTTTTACACATGAAAACCTTTTAAATACTACCATGCTCGATGGGTTAAAAAATTATAGAACACGTCAAAATGAGAAGAGTATTTCTAAAAAAAAAAATTTAAAAAGAGTACCACTTCTACAATCTAAGCAAGAACAATTTCACTTATTCAAGAATTTTATAAAATTGAAAGATCCTCCATCTAAGCTCATTTCCCCCAAATTATTAAATATAAACGAGTTACATGCTTTTTGTAAGCCCTTAACAGAAGAATTTCAATCTAACCATGTTTTATATCTTCAAGGGGGGATACCTCCTCAACTCCCTGTCGACCGAACTTCTTTAAAAAGTGGGCAAGGCGTATGTATAAATGGTATAAAAGAAGAAATTAAGGATCCTTTGCTTTTAGAAAGTCTTGATCAAAATGCAATTTTTCGAAACAATGAACATATACAAGCTATTCAATTGAGTAATTTGTTATTAAAACGAAACAATAAACAACGAACAATTGGTTGTGCAAAGGAAAAGACACCTTTCATTTCATTTACGCAATTACCAAACCGTTCCAAGCACAAAAAGCTTTCTTTCCGTTCACAGGATTGTGATTCCGCTTTGTTATATGGCTTCTGCAGACGTCCCACAGTAGACGAACCTCCTGAAACCTCTTATTTACCGTTAGAAAAAGAGTTCTCAAAAGAAACCATAACGGGGCATTCTAAAATTCTTAGTTTAGCTACCGATTTCAAGGAGGTAGGTTTATTATCTAAATTATGGTATAACTTTTTTTAACTAAAATAAATAAGTTTGTTATATATTTTTCTCAATAAAATGTTCGTGTCTGTTTATATAAGCTTGAATGTCCGCAAAAAGATGCCCGCTCCATCTCAAAAGTTTGTAATAGTTCATATGCAGAAAATATCAAAAATTTACTTAGCGATTCAGAGTTTGGTTTTTTATAATCCATTTTTTACTATTTAATCAAAGAAAACACTTATTTATTTTGAAAAAAGGATATTGTTAGTATAATTATCTCTCATAGGTACCCATCCCTTCCAGAGCGTCTCTCTTTTAGCAACTTATTTGTTGCAGGCCAAGGTAACAAATATGGATTTTACCTTTTATTAGGCTAAATGCGTATGAAATTTTAAATCTTTTTTTGGTCGAAAATCTTAAAATCTCTTATAGATTGCGCTTCAAGAGAACTTTCTTTAAATAAAGAAGCTTATACAGCAGATGAACAGGAAAATAATGGAAGTGAGTTGGGTTGAAATAAATACTACCTCTATTAATATTAATATTTTAATGTAAAAGAATTTTTTTTTTTTGAGGCAGATTCTTTTAAAGAAAAATCATTGGCTTCTCTTTTGGTATGTTTAACTTTTAAAGTAAATATTATAACTTCAATATCTTCAGCTATCATTTCTTTTTTTCTCGGTATTTACACTATGTTTTTTATATTTTAATGTCCCCATAATTTAAATGGCCACCCTAGAGTACGTCTAGAGGCATTTTATTAAGTGATTCCGAAAGGAGGGATCTAGCAAACGTGCAAAAGGTTTTTGACTTATACAATTTATTTTAAGTAAGCTTTAATTAATAGCTTTGCGAGATCTTTTGTATAAAGTACTAATTTTTATGAGGGCAATGTCCTTTGCTATAGAACGCTTGTTAGTCTAATAGAAAAATATAAATTTAAGTAAAGGCAAGTTACTAGAGCAGCAGTGAAACCATATATCCGCCCAATAGTTTCGTATATGTCAGCTCGTTTATGATGACCTGCGCAAACTTAATAATATAAGCTACTATAAAACCGCGCTCTGTAAGGCTTGCAGTTGAGGCTTACTGCTGGTTTTATTTGGATCAAAAAAGCTTTTAATAACGTTATATAGTTTTCCTTTATATAATAAACCTTTTAATATGTAGGCTCGCAATAGTGCCATGCTAAAAAAAATTGTGCAAGAAAAGCAAGATATAAACCCTTCAGATTCAAAAGGACTGCACAAGTTAGTGAAACGGATCAAACCAGAGGGAAAGATAGACGAGGAAGTTACTGAAGTAACTTAAGTAAAAACAAATATGGGAAATTTTAAGTAAATTTAATTTTTTTATTTTTTCAAGTAGATGCTACTGGATTACACCGACTATCTCATAGAAGAGTTGACTCGGTGCTCCTGCGCACTCGCAAGCCATAGGCAGTCCAAAACTTTAGAACTCAAAGATGTCCAGCTCTATGTGGAGGGGACCCGCAACATACGCACCGCTAATAAGAATAGCCACGTTTAAGCAATTCGGTCCGCATCATGAAAAAAAATCCATTACAAAGAACTGATGAATGCAAAAATATAGCGCCCTACAACTTCTGCCTGTACCCGTTGGCAGAAATACACCAATCTGAGACCCACAACCCCCCCTTGCAGTAGAACTATTAATAAAAGTGACGGTGTTGAGCACCAATCTATCACGACTTTCCTTTTTTTTTTTTTAATCCACTGTCCACTCTAAAAAAGCAGTGCCAGTTCGTTTATTTACTTGCGAAATTAAACTTCCGTATTGTGCAAAGAAAGCGACTTTTGTATAAGTGCTACGCGTTCCACGTGAGCGTCCGTTTTTTTCGAAACGTCTGTGCTTCTAAACTCCGCAAAGCCAGGAATGCTCATGTTCCACTGGCGCTCTAGTGATAAACTAAATACACCTTCCCAAAACTATTAAAGTACATAGACTAAATGCACCCAAATAAAGTTGAATGTCTTTGGCTTCCAATGCCTGAGAATTCCGATGTTTAGACAACTGACAGGAAAAACGGACGGCATCGCTGACAAACTCCTCCGCAAATTCCAAAAGCAGCTAACAATTATTTATAGGCGTTAAGTTAAATTATAATTATATAGAGTAGAACGTCTTCAATGTCCTCGTCTAATTTTAGGCGAGGATCAATTTGCAATATTAAGTCATTTAGCAATTTCTTATCCAACAAAAGCTGTTCTTTTTGTTTTACTGTATTATCAGAAAAATTTAGAGAATGCAAGTAGGAAGATTTCGGTTGTTTGATTTCCGGAACGATTAAAGGGCGGGGCGTCTAACAATTATTCAATTAACAATAATAAACACCGCGTGCAAATAAATACAAAAATGATTTTGATTCCTAATAAGAAATTGCTATGCTAAAACCAAAAAATTCAATAGTGGCAAGATTCCTAACGCTTATTTCTGATTTACAGCGAAGAGTAACATACATACCAAAGTTTCGAAATTAGAACTCGTGTATATACTCCTCATGGGCTCTAAATTAGTTGAAGGAGTAATAACTGGTGCAACAATGTTGGAAGACACCGGCGCTGCAGGAGATAATAAAGATTTCTCCTTTTTCATCTTCAGCTTAGAGAAGCTATCTTTGTTCTATATTATATATGACTGTGTAAATTTAATAACGAGGCAAAAGGTAATACAATCAGATTCCCCGGGCGTCCTCTGCTTCTCGGAAAAAGAACCGGTGTAGTGGATCTTTTAAAAGCATTATGAGACCCTTTATTATCGTTATCTTTGGAGGAAGCATGCAAATTAGCGGTGGTGTAATTCTCTGATCTACTTTGGGTTGATAAGCTGTCCTGAGTTGTTTGTGGTGTCGAAATCCCAGACAAACTTGTAGAAGGCAGTGTTGCCGTTGGTGGTTGAGGACTTTCTTCAAGAGGAGAAAGCTCAGTGAAGCAAGTTTGCACGCCCGACATGAAAGAGGTGTTGGCAGTCCCGCTTTTTTGTTCACTTCCTAATAAATGGACGTTAATTCTCTATAAAGAAAAAACAAGAAAGTAGGAGAACCATGGACAATTCCTGTCATATTATGCAAAAATCCACTGGTAGTTACGGGATCGGTGCCTAAAAAGTTACTACTCTCCGAAGGTTTAGAACTTTCAGTGCCAAGCTTAGAACTTCCAGCAAAAGTAGTGCTGTCTGGGCTGGCATTGCTTATAATGCTTGGCTCTCTAGGTGAATTTAGTACTATTAGTATCATGAAAGTTACCAGTAGTACTTGTCCCAATTGACAACCTCTTTGAATCCGTTTGGGACTGGAAAGTTTGTTTTCTCTTTCTCTCGGGAAGTTTCGACTGCGTCTTGTTTAGAGGGGTAGTGTCTACCTCGGAGCGAAGCTGACTTTTAGTACTGTTACTGTGACTGTTATTGTTATGCTTATGAGTTTTATGGACTTGTTTACTGTTATATTGAATATTGTCTTGTTTATCCATAGTACTTATAGTACCTTTTTTAATATTTGTCGTTCTTACATCCGAGCTCTTAAATTCGTTGAGATTGCTAGCTTCAGCGGGAGATTGCTTCACATTAAGGTTTTGAGAGGTGGGATTGCTTAGAAAACTCATATTTAAAATACCGCTTTTGCTTAAATTAACATTATTGCTGGAATTGCTACTACTAATATTATCATGTGCAGCAAAGTTGGTAATAACTATGTCACTACTAGAAGTGGTGGATACAGCGGTAATGTTTTTGTTTGTAGCAACATTATTATCCACTGTATTTTTCAGATCTACAGGTCTAATTTCTCCTAAATTGTTGTTTAACAAAGCGTTCTCTAGTTCATCTAAGTTTACGTTACCACCAAAATCAAGATGTCCTAAAACGTTGGCGGCAGGTTTACCCTCAGAGAAAGAAGGGGAGGTCGCTGCTGAGAAATTGGAAAGGAACGGAGAAAGAATATTGGGCTGTAAAAGATGAAAAGACGACGAAAGATGTGCTTGACCACCTAATAACTCACTGGTGTTTATAAATGATTCATTCTGGACGTTGGGCGCTTGAAACTGTAAAGTAGCCGCCGCTGGAAAGGAAAAAGAGGGCGACGCTGGTACAGTGGTGGAGGGCGTTGGCGAAGCAAGTTGAGGGACCAGCTGACCTTTAGTGAGTTGCTGTACTTGTGAAGGATATAAAATTTGTTGCTGCTGCTGCTGTTGTTGTTGATACATTTTCTGTCGCTGTTGCAGTTGTTCTTGCTGCAAGAGTAGCTGCAGTTGGTGCTGCTCGGAAGCGACTTGTTTATGCATCTGAAGTTGAAGCATCTGTTGTTGCTTCTGCAACATTTTTTGTTGTTGAAATTGAGCTTGCGCTTGCGCTTGCTGAATTTGTTGCTGATAATAAACATATTGCTTGTTAATAAAAGCTAATTTCTTTTCAAATTCCATTTTTTGTGCATTTAGCCTTTTATTTTCTTCTCTTAATAACTCGCGTTTAGTAAATATTTCTCTAGAGTTCTCACCTGCTCTGAGCCTTAAAAAAACTAACTTTTAATAAATAAATTCTAATATAAAGTTTTTAGATAAAACCTTAATTCAAGCTGCTCGAAGGTTTTTCCACCAAGTTCTATTTGTTGTGAAATTTTTAATAAACCCTTTAATAAGTAAACATAACAGGTTAATACAATATAAAATCACCGTTTATATTAATCTTAATATATCAACTAAAATAAAAGATAGAAAGTACGCTCTTTAAGTTGTGTACTTCCCGTTGCAGCTGCATAAAAAAACGTTTTTGAGATGCCGTTAACGGCCGGGACATTTTACTTTAAGTGAAATTGTAAAGAAGAATGCTAAAAAAATAAATCTTTAGTAAAAAAAAAAAACTAGACTTTCTGCTTTTCTAAATGAACGCATCGGGGATCTCTAATAAAAGGGAGGTCTGGTTAGAATTACAAAATATGAAAAAACAGCCAGTGGGGAGTCACTATCGAAACAAACTTGCCATATAGCTTTGCTAAAAAGGTAAGAAGGAGGCGGTGGTCGTTTAATTTTGCTAATCTGCACAATCACGCGTTGTGTTTACCACTCTCTCGTGCTTTTGCTATGCTAAGTTGCTTTTTACAAAAGCAAGGCGCTGCTTTTTTGCTTTAATGAGCTCCTGTATAGATACAGAAAATGTAAAAAAAGAGGACTTGTCTATTTCAGTAGCAAGTTTGGAGGTTTCCTGCATTATTCAAGTAAGTCGATTCACTATTTACCTTAAACTCTTCTAATTTTTATACTTAGGTTTCTAATGTTACCCCTCAGTGTAGTATTGAAGAGGTAAAGACTTTTTTTTCCTTTATTGGAGAGATAAAAAGAATTATACAGAAATTAACGGAGTATTCATTTATTTTTTATAGTGGGAGTACTATAGATTATAAGCGTTTATGCTAGGGCCGCCGTAGCGCCAGCCCCCAGTGTTGTATTTATAGAATTTTATGAACCGGCCGATGCAGCTTTAGCTTTACATCTTACTAATAACTACTGGTTTGTTATCTTATTCTCTTTTTGAAGCCTTTCTTTGTTTATTCGTCAGGTTACCTACCTCTATACAGACTTAACTTTATTTTTAGGGTTGACAGAAATATATTTGTTACTCCCGTAAACTGCTTTCCTGGGGAACCTTCTAAAGCGCCTTTAATGACAGACCCCAGCGTAGCTGCCATTGTCGCTGCCGTTCCCAAAACCGCCTCTAGTACTGTTCCAATTATTGGTTATAGCAGTATATAACATTTTATCATAATATAATTTTTTTTTTAAGTTTTTACATTGAATAATTATTTTACAAACAGCGAATACGCCTTTTCCCCTTATTTCTCCTATAAGCAGACCTGTGGCCTTACCTACCATCTTGTCTCCCGCCTCTGTTTCGGTTCTTTCTTTAGCCGTAACTACCTATATTGTTTTAACTCTGGACTGTTGTCCTCAAGAGTGGCGTCTTGCTGTATTCATTTCCGATTAAAAATATTTTTACTGATGTTCGTCGGTATTATTAATATTTTAGTCACACAATAAGAATTTCTGAGATGACGAATCTTTTCATGATCTTTCTTAGTAATATTTTAATTCCATCACGTAAGAGATTTCTTTTTGTTCCTTTTTTTTTACTCTACTTATCAAAAGCATGAGGTTCTTTTTCTATAATTTGGAGAACCTATTTAAAATGGCTATTGTTTCTTCTTTTATATCCCTTTTTTGCAGGAATCTTCCGTGCTGGACCATTCCAAGTTGGAGGAGATAATGAGGACTCGATATGTTGGTAATCTCGATTCGAAGGTTTTTTTTTAAGGGCTTTTGTTACATAATAAACTTTATTATTCTCGTGCAGACTAGAGCCGAAGAGGTGTTGAAGTTTTTCGAGGTCTGCGGCACTGTTACGTACCTTCGCATGGCAGGAGACGATTCTCAGCCTACACGATTTGCTTTCATTGAATTTGAAACGCAAGCAGCCGCCGATATCGCACTTCAAAAGAACGGCGCGATTTTTAAGGACCGCCCAATAAAGTTTTTAATCAAAATGACTAAAACTTATTGTTATAGCATTTTTATAATCTCTTCTTAGGGTGTGCCCTTCGAATCACCCCATTGTGAAACCAGCAAAGTCCAAGGCTGTTGAACGAAGAGAGATTCAACAAGCTTTAAAGGGCATACAAGCTTTAGATGCGCAGTTCTCGAAAATCTTTGGAGGTTTATGTTGTAGAGTTTTTTTCCTTCATTATTAATTTCAGCGTTATTTGTAGCTGAACCAAAAGAAAAAGAAATACCTAAAAGAAATATTTCACGAAGTCGAAGTCGAAGTCGGCGAAGATCTCGTGACAAGGAAAAAGACAGGGATCGCCACAGTATAAGAAAAAGAAGCAGAACGCGTAGTCGAGATAGAAAATCCAAAAAAAACGAGAGAGGGAGGGACAAAGAGAGGCGCAGAGAGCGGGAGCGAACGCGGAGTAGTGAAAAGTCGAAGAAGAAAAGAGAAAGAGAAAGAGAGAAGGATTCAAAGAGAGAAAGGAAACGTAGGCACAGTACTTCCAAGGATAGATCCCACGAAAAGAGTCGTGTAAAATACTCTCGAAGCGTTCAGGCAGAAGAAGAGAAGAATACTAATAAAAAGGAGGAAACTGGCGCACTAGAAAACAGTGCAAAGTAAATGAAAGTGGTTGTGGCTCTTTCTTTTCTCGTTTAAATAGTACTTCAGCTGCCCTTTTAGGTCTCTTTGAGGTTTCAATAAAAATAAATTATCTCAATTTTTGATTTTATCTTTTTATTTCCATTTTCGTCACTGCTTTAACTTTTAGATATTCATTAATTTTAGGACGCGTTAAATGGTAGTTGTGTTTTTGGTTAAAGTTTGCTATATATCTTTCTAACAAATAACAGTATACCTCATACGAATTAGTCCTTTTTTATATCTTTTCAAATCGTTTGTTTGTAGATACTTTGGAAGGAAATTTTTTTTAGTTACTGTTAGAAACTTATTTTGATTTAGTACAACCCTCAAGTTTTTGGGGATTAACCGCACTGAAAACATACAGGGAGTCAGCGATTTTAGGCTTCGTATAGTACTAATAGTTCCGAATAATATAAGTTTAATTTACCTTGCGGGGGAAAGACACGCTTGTTTATATCTCGCATCGCCTGCAATTCAGCTCGTTTATTAACAAATAAATAAAATGCTGTCTACGAAGTTTTTGGTACATACTTTACGTTTTTCTAAAAAGTGATAGAGCATCTATAAGAGACTGCAAGCGATGTTTATTGCCCTTATTTAGTCTTACAAATTTGTGTTTTTAAGTTTTTATAAAGAATTGAGAGACAATCGTTCTATTTAGCAGAGCTTACACAGTACGATTTTTTATCCTTTTACTGTCAAAAGTTAGGAACGATAAAAATAATTTAAAGTTAATAGTTAGGAGATCAATAACTTAAGTAAATTTTCTTTTTGCCGTGAGTATAGGCCGTAGTTTAATAATAAAATATTCACCCATTTTGTTTTTAGCCGAATTGAAATTCGGTATAGAAAAATAATGTTGTCCCTTAAATAACTAGTTTTTTAATAATAATCTTAAACAATCACAGGTACACATCAACTACCAGCTGCGTTTTATTCTACTGTTAAAAAAAAAGTTTTTATCTTCAAACTATTTACTGAGACCCGTTGTAGTTTTAAAGAAAGGCTGCAATGCTTCACGTACGAAATATATGTATACATATTTTAATTTAAAAAAAAAATTAGAATTTTTATTTATTCCATTATATTACTATTTTGGAATGTGTTTTCCTTGTTTTACTACCTAAAGTAAAAACATTATATACTGAAGGCACAGCTATCCCCGGCCAGCATTCTAAAAAATACAGAAACTATTTCCTTAAGAGTGGCCCTCTACAAATTTAAAGCTAATTTATTTAGATGCGGGCGAGATTTAGTACAAACCCCGTCAAAGATCGAGAGAGAGTTGTGTCAGTTAGGAACCGAACCCACGGCCTTGAGTTTGCGTCAGTGCTCTTTACCTGAGCTCGGGCGCCAACTCTCAATCTTGGTATGATTTACACACTTGGTCTGTTAGATGTAAAGTAAAGTAGAAAGTGTGGAAGTGCGTATAAAACGGTGTCCAGTCAAATTTCTTCTGGTTGTTTCAACTCGCAGGCAGCAAACGTGTATGTTATTGTAGTGTGAACGCACACTTCATAGCGCCACCGCGAAAGAGTACTGACTACGAAGTTTTTAAAACTAATATATTGACAAAATAACTTTACAGTAGTCGTAAGTTATTTCGCCAAGGTGTGGGGCGATTCTTTGTTTCCTTTGTTGGGATGATAGTAACTCTTAAAAGGTTACTAGCAGTCGGCACTGGAGATGTTGGCGCAGTGGTGTTAGTGACTTCAACTGCATGCAAATCGTCGTATTGGCAGCATGTGGAAAGACCCTCACAGGTTATATACGTAAATTCACATACGGAATGAATGTTGCCGTTGTAGCCAAGCGGTTAAGAGCTTCGTATATTGGGTTTCTAACCTATGCAAATCTCTTTTTTCGCTTTTCATGGTCGCATATGTGAGCTCGCCCTAGTATGTTCTGATATACTCTAGTTAAAGGTTACAGGGAGGTGGTATAAGGCAGAGGAGTTGGTACTTTATCGAGTACTGTCTCGAAGGCAAGCCACAAAGTTACTGAAGCTAAATTCTTCATAGAGAATGTGCGTATACATCTTTAAGCATAGCTCCGTTTTTATTTTAAGGGAATCGGATGAAGTGAAACGTACGCAAGCTAAGAACCTTTGCTGGCAGCTCTCCGAACTTACTGATCTCTAGGTTATAGTTAATAAACGCCCATTAACTCGAAATTGATGTGGAAAAACGAAAGATTCGATAGAACTTTTTGCTTTTACCATGTTAAAATTACACTTTAAAAAACCATCATGCTAACTTTGTCAAAACGCGACTACCATGCTTCTCTACTAGCAAATAGCTGAACTAAATAGTTATTTCCAAGTAACCTGTCAATACAGTTTCTTTTATCACAATATATTAAAAATATAATCATTTTCTCTACGATACTAACCTGGCAGATCCGCGAATTCCACTCGAGCATTCCACCCAATGGCCTGTTATGTTTGGACTTTAAAACTGCGTGACTGATAAGAATTTATCAAATGGTGATGCTTTAGCTTTATTTCATTTTGTATATACAAGCCAATATTGAATCTCGTAGAAGACAGGACTTAGTTTACTGTTAGAGGCTAGTGAAATTGATAAAATTACAATCTTTGGGGAGAAAAACATTTTGTGGGCTTGGTATGTTTCCATTACGTTATATTAAATTTAGCTAAAAAATTATTTATCTCAAAATTAACTGCAGTTTTTTTTTCTTGTAATATATTTTATTACTTAATAATTTGGAAGGAATATTTATATTTATAGGGGATAACTTTGGCTATAGTTGAAGATTTTAATAAGCAACTTTCTGCTTCATTTTATACCCTGTTAACTGATGGAAACGTTGAATTATTATAGTTACAAGAGTTAGAACAAGTATTAAAAGTTTTAATCCTCGTCTTTTACTTAAAGTAGTAGAAAAGGGGGTAAATTTATTATAAGAAGTAGTTTTATCTTTTATTTTTTAAGCTTTCCTGTTTCTAACAGGAGGAAAGTAAGAGCAAGAGTTCAAAGGCAGATAGAGAAGACTGGCTAGCTAAGGAAGGTTACTTTAAATATAATTTTGTGACTTGAATTCTTTAATTTTTTTGTTCTTGATTAAGATCCTTATACTTACCTTATAGGCTGCCTAAAGGATGCTATCCTGATAGCGTTTGGTGGGGGAGTGATAGGCGATCTCATCGGCTTTGTAGCCGCGACGTACGTGCGGGGCATTCGTTAAGGTTCAGGTTCCAACCACGCTCTAGCTATGGTTGATTCTTCCAATGGCAGTGCCCTTTAGACTGTTAGCAGGGTATCCCTTCGGTATTGTGGGATTTCCGAATGAGGTAAAACGGGGATCGACACGCCTTACGGGAAAAATCTAGTTAGTGCATTACACCAGCCAACTCACGTTTATGTTGATCTTTTATGTTTAAATAGTTTATCTAAAAGACATATCTCTAACGGTATGAGTGAGGTAACCATGCATCATCTTTTTCTTAAAGTTCTTTTAAGCTGATGTCAATACCATCAAACTGGCGGTTGTGCTTGACTCCAAAGAATTTGCCTACTTGGAATCTCACGCGAAGCAGGTTTTTCAACGTGATACGAAAGTTCTTCTGCACATTGTAACGTCGAGCAAAAAAAGAAAGGCGGCAATGCTCTTCTAGAACCGCAGCCTCTCCATGAATCTCACATTTTTTGACTATAGATTGTTACTGAGGACATAAAAGACAGGCGGCACAGTGTGGGGCACGCTCTTGAAACCCTCGCGCCCATTCGCCTACTTCGGGGAGAGGCGGTGGCTAATGGTAAGATTGTGGCCACTGGCTACATCGCCTGAAAAACTCATCCACTCCAGGAGTGTTCAAAGAAGCTGAAAATCCACGGCCCCTTCGCTATTGCTGTCAAGAAACCGTGAACCGCCTGTCCTTGTGCTTAAGTTTGTGTGGTTTGAGGGTGAGTGAACTGAATTTTGCACGTTCCTTTAAGGCTTCTTTACCTTTTGCAATGAAGACTGCAATACCGACGAGCGTGAATGGCGCTGACATCATGCGGTACTAGAGAATCGATAAGAAAAACACAACTACTGACCTGCGGCTGATTATCATCAAAAGTATCGGCGATGTTGCATCGCCTTTCCTGCACGTGGTAGACGGTACCCTCATTGAGGTGGCATTGTCTAGTCTTGTGGAGGGGAAGCCTAAAGAAGGTTCCGTATTCTCAAGAAGGCTCAAAGTTATATTATTGTCTCACAGAACTTGCTGCCTTTTTCTTACTTTCACTTCAGTTTACTTACGCATTATTAAGTAGTGCCATTCCCTACTTTAACCATCCACGGGACTGTTGCGGTGCCTAGCTCCAAGTTCATCACGAACCAGGCTCTTTGCCTGGCTGTCCTCCGAAACTGTCCCTGCACAGTGAAGGGCTTACTCCATGACGACGACACGCAGGTCTTGCATATATTGGTCGTGTTGGTTGTAAGGCTTAAACTTCTGTTTAGAGGTCATGCAACAAGCACTGCAAGCCCTGGACGTGAGGATCACTAGAGCTTAAGCAGATGACTGCTCCATGGCTGTGCATGGCGTTAACGGGCAGATGAGCCCTCCTAAATCCTGTACCTTCTTCTTTTCCGTTTTCATCAGCTCCAAACACCTCAGCGATTCACGAGATATTTCTGTGAGAAGCTCGGGGACCCCGCACGCTTTATAGCCTTATTGGCCACGTTGATCGAAGACGAGTGCGAAGTCATCAGAACGGGGCGCTCCCACATGAAAGAAAGGTACTTTAGTAGACGTCCTGCAACGCTTCGGCAAACCCGATGGCTGCTTGATATGAAGGCCCACTGGGTCTTTAGCGGATGCCCTGCAGAGCACAGGCGCCAGAATGGAATACATCGAACAATTCGGCGCACTGCCTATATAACTGTATTGCGAGGTCGGATTCAAAGGCGGTATTTTATGCTTTTTTCTGCATCAAATTAGTCCTCTCACTTTTGGCTTTTAGTTACCGTTGAAATCCGTTCCGACTTCAGTAGCCAGTTTTTCTTCTCTTTTGCTTTCTTGTTTTCCTCTTCGAAGGTTATTAATGCGGCTCCAACCAGCTCTTA